TTATGAGGAGAGGCTGAGGGAGCTGGGATTGTTTAGCCTGCAGAAGAGAAGAATGAGGGGGGATTTGATAGCTGCTTTCAACTACCTGAAAGGGGGTTCCAAAGAGGATGGCTCTAGATTGTTCTCAATGGTATCAGATGACAGAACGAGGAGTAATGGTCTCAAGCTGCAGTGGGGGAGGTTTAGATTGGATATTAGGAAAAACTTTTTCACTAAGAGGGTGGTGAAACACTGGAATGCGTTACCTAGGGAGGTGGTAGAATCTCCTTCCTTAGAGGTTTTTAAGGTCAGGCTTGACAAAGCCCTGGCTGGGATGATTTAACTGGGAATTGGTCCTGCTTCGAGCAGGGGGTTGGACTAGATGACCTTCTGGGGTCCCTTCCAACCCTTATATTCTATGATTCTATGATTCTATGATCAGTCCAGTTGCTGGCTAACACCTTACTTTTTCTGGCTTGGATGGAGAATCACTTTCCCCAAATGGTTTGCCTTAACGACATCCCTGTCTTCCAAAATGAGTTTCACTGATTTTAGAATGGATTTGCTCTACAGTTATGGCTTCCAGAGAGGGTATTACCAGATTTTTGGAGCAATTAAAGATGTTTTCTCTTCTGAACTAAAATGTTTTTTTGCTGTGCATAATTAAAATCTTTTACTCTTATACAGCGGTGCCCAAACTTTTTTTCTCATGCCACCCTTTATCAGTAGTGGAATGTGTCTGCACCCCCCTGTACTGGGAGCAGGGCCCGGGAGTAGGGACCAGTGGCTGAGAGCAGGGGCAGGGCCATGACCAGGAGTAGAGTCAGGGGCTGGGGCCGGGGTGAGGCTGGAGCTGAGCTGGATGGTGCTCCCACCCCTATGGGGGCTGGCCCAGCTTCCCCCAAACCCTACTTGGACATTCATCCATGCCCCCCTAGGGATGTGCATTCCACAGTTTGGGGACCACTGCTCTAATAGTTCACCCTTCTTTTCTTTATCCTCCCCCCCCCCTTCTAATGGGTATAGACTTTTTACTTTGCTAATAATCTTCTCTGTAAACTAAAGGAAGGGACAGAAGAGGTTTTTATATATTAAACTCAGTGCCCTGACTTAACCATAGTAGCAGAAGAAAGAGACATCCACTTCAACTGAAAGGCAACATTGTAAAAACTGATAAAAGGATATCCTTTTTAGATAATGCATGTAGAACTCACTGCCAGAAAACATCACTGAATCCAAGAATCTAGAAGATTCAAAAAAAGATTAGACATATATAGAGATGAGGATGATATCCAGTGGTTAAGCCAGCCACTGACTGATAAGGGTTAGGAAGAAACATCATTTCTGGATAGGTTATTGCATTTTGGCATTTCTTGCACCTTCCTGTGAAATATCTGTTACTGGCCACTATTGGACACAGGATATTAGACCAGATTGATCACTGATCTTGTTCAGTAAGCACCAATTGGATTAGAGGGGAGAGGAGTAGTGGTCTTCTTCCAAGCTACACTCACAAAATTATCTCACAAAATTGAGATGTTGGTCATAGGAGATTATGCAGATGTTCAAAACATGATCCTATGTGCTCTCAGGGTTGTGTTGGGCTTCTTGGTTGTGGCTTCTCCACTAGAGGGGTTTCAATACACCCATAGACTCTTCAGGCTTGTATTCCCTTCTGTAGGACTCATACCTGATTGGTTTCCTTGGGGCTGGATCCTTCTTGATTTAGGAGGGAAACATATAAGAGGTGGTACTCTTCTAGGCCTGCCCATTCGTGGTGCCAAAATAAGTTGTCATTCACTAGATTGTGTAGATATTGATAATATAATACTGCGTCTTTCTTACATGCAGTGAAATAAGTAATAATACTGGCATTTTAATAGCATAACTGGTACCTGATGAATGGCACAGTTTGCATCTCTGAATTACTTTCACAGGCTCTCTGAAGACTCAGGCAGAGTGTGCTGCCTCAGTTACACTCAGTTCACATTTCCAAGGCAATCTTCACATCAACAATATCAAGATACTTAATTTTTGTTTTTAAATGAAAATTAAGATACTGGAATATAAGAAGGCAGTTTGGGAGAGGTGCTAGTATGCTGTACTATCATGTACTGTACCAGCAAAATTCAAGATCTGTTAGGAAGGCAATATGTACGTTCCAACTGTGGGCCAAACTATACTCTTGGGATCTCTGAATGGAGGGAGACACAAACATGGAAGGGAGGCTAACCACCTATGTGGCAATAGGAATCCTTTCCTCTATGAAGAGCTTATCTTTAAACCTGAAGAGCAGTGAAACAGAAAGGAGGGGACAGGGTAGGGACCCAGGCAACCAGAAGAAGAAAGTTAAAACAACCCACGGAGCTCCCCTGGTTCTACCAGCAGGTAATAGCTAGGGAGATAGGAGCTAGGGTAATAGCTATAGCAATGGACCTCCAAGGGAGTTATGCTGGCAGAGTGGAGAGGGTCCAGACTTTCTAAGGATGAGGTAATATCTAAAGCATTTGTACATCTTTGGAGTATGGGGAGAAATCCCTACTCCACCCAATGGAAGAATAGACAAAACTCTTTAAGGAGAAGGAACCTCACAAAGGCCCTCATTTGGGAATGTGATCAATACGTGCCTAACTGTAGGCATCTGAGTAGTTCCACTTAAATGTGATTCCCCTCATGCTTAAAGTTAAGCACATGCTTTAAATACTGTGCTGAACTGAGGCCTCATCTCTACCTAGCCATGTAGTTCTTCAGTGTCCTGCAGCATGACACTATTTATCCTTAATGTAATGGATTATTCATTGTTTAAAGAGCAAAATATACTATTTTTAGTGCATTTTATTTTTCCTCTCAATCTGACTCCAATTTACCACTTTCTTGCTTTTTTTCACTCATTCCTTTCTTCTACTTCTACTTCCAGCTTTTTATTTTACCCCATCTGTCTATTTTCCCTAAGAAATATCAAACATTTTTAGCTGACTGTAGTTCAAAACCAGAAAATTTATTCTGTGTACTCCTCCTTCACATATTTTCAGTTTTTTGATTAGGACAGAAATGTTTAGTAAATAGCTGTATCCCTAAAATTGCAGGCTTAGAATAAACTTTTCTCCTCTTGTGTTCATTGCTGTGGTCGCTTTGTAAACAATGCATAACCTATTACATTTCTTATTCTGTAATCACAACAATATTGCAAGTTAAAATTGAGGTATTCTAGCCAAATCTTTGGGTAACCCTTGAACAATATCTCCCCATATTAGACTCTAATCAGTGCTATTAGTTCCTTGCTTTCATAAATACAAAATCTCTCTCAAAACTAGAGGTGCGGGGAAAGAAAAGCAATTGAAGACGAAGGCTTTGAAAGAAATTCACCATTAAGGATAAAAGATGTCATACCGTAGGACACTGAAGAACTATATGGCTGAGTGCTGGCGGATATAAAGGAGGCTTCCCCTTTTTAAATATGAATTGTCTTCTCTTTTTAGCTTCCATTTTGATCTTATTTAGTGTCATAAAAATAAAGGGAAGTGTAACCACCTTTTCTATATATGGTGCTATAAAATCCCTCCTGGCCAGAGGGAAAGTCCTTTTACCTGTGAAGGGTTAAGAAGCTCAGGTAACCTGGCTGGTACCTGACCCAAAATGACCAATGAGGGGACAAGAGACTTTCAAATCTGGGGGAGGGGAGGCTTTTGTCTGTCTGTGTGATACCTTTGCCAGGAACAGATCAAGGATTCAGGCCCTCCAACTCCTGTAAAGTTGGTAAGTAATCTAGCTAGAAAATGTGTTAGGTTTTCTTTGTTTTGGCTTGTGAAATTCGCTGTGCTGGAGGAAATGTGTATTCCTGTTTTTGTGTCTTTTTGTAACTTAAGGTTTTGCCGAGAGGGATTCTCTGTGTTTTAAATCTGACTGCCTGTAAGATTATCTTCCATTCTGATCTTACAGAGTTGTTCTCTTATCTTTTTTTGTTCTTCTAATAAAGCTCTGTTTTTTTTAATAATCTGATTGGGTTTTTGGGGTGTTAGAAATCCAAGGCTGGTTTTTGCTCATCTTGTTTATTCTCAAGCCTCCCCAGGAAAGGGGGTGTAAGGGCTTGGGGGGATATTTGGGGGAAAATAGGAACTCCAAGTGGTCCTTTCCCTGTTCTTTGTCTAAATCACTTTGTGGTGGCAGCATACTGTTCAAAGACAAGGTGAAATTTGTGCCTTGGGAAAGTTTTTAACCTAAGCTGGTAAAAATAAGCTTAGGGGGTTTTTCATGCTGGTCCCCACATCTGCACCCTAGAGTTCAGAGTGGGAAGGGAACCCTGTGAATCAGGGTTTAAAATAATGTATTTAATCATTCTCTGAACATTGAAATTTTGTGGGCATTTTCCTATTATCCCAGCTCCTGAGCAGAATCTGATTTTAAAAACGATCCGGTGTTCTATTTTAAACCAAAACCAACCATTTAAGCATATTTTTGTCTTTTTTGAACTGATTATAAATCTATGCTTACTACAAACAAGGAGGGTAGAGGAAAATACTTTGTTTTTTTTTTTTTTCAAATTCGTTTTCTTTGTGTATCTGACAGCATTGTGCTACACTGTCAACTCACTGTAGGCAAACAGCAAAAAAAAAAAAAAAAGACCCCCCATCCTTTTTTTTTTTAAATGGAAAGTGCGATTTGTAAATCCATAGCAATTGTCAGGGATCTTGGAACTATTTTTTTTCTTTCTAAAGCCTTAGGAGATTTCAGGTTGAAGGTGTCCTGTGAAGGGTGCTCTACATCCCAGTCTATAGGCAAATCTTTTAATCTTGAAGCCCTGCAACGAACTCCAACTAATGAAGCTGCTTCCATCGCTACAGGTGCGGGTGGAAATTGGAGGGCAGGCTTAACTCCCAAAGCTACTCCGAGGTCTGTGAGGCGGAATGGGAGTTGCACAGTACTGCAGCAATGAGGTTGTCTTGTTGGAGCAGGGCGTTTGGAGGGTGTTGCACCCTTATGCTGATGAGGTCAGTCGGGGGGCGGCGGTTTGCTGGGAAGGCGGGGCAGGCTGCAGTACTCTGGTTTCTTCTCTCTCCTGCAGCACAGAGGTGCCTGCTGTAGTAGCACCGGTCGGACCCGGTGCGAAGTCGAACGTGCTGCCTGTCTGACAGAGGCAGGGACCGCGGGCGGTTCCCTCCGCATCCCCGCGGCGGCGGCGCCAGGTGAAAGTAGCTGTGAGAAATTCTCCCCACGCTTCCTGCTGCTGCGGGCAGCTGTGGCTGCGGGCTCCCGAGTGGCAGCTGTTGCTGCGTGGCAGGGGACGGGCGGCTGCGGGGCAGGGGGCTCTTGGGGCAGAGTTTGTACAGTTGGCTGGAGGCTGCTGCGCTGCCCGGAGATGGGAAGGCAGAGCCTGCGCTCGGGCATCCTCCTGTTGGCGGCCCTGCTGTCTCTAAAAGGCGAGAAGCTGCCAAGCTGCGAGGACGCTCGGAAAGTTTTCCAGCTGCTGCAGATCGGCCCAGCCAAGGGGCTTCCGGAGACCCCGCAGGCAGGTAAGAGCGGGCTCCTCTCCGCAGGGCACCGCTGCAGGGCGTGCGCCGCCTTCCCCCGGGAGAGCCAGGGCTCCTGCACCCGGGAACGCAGCATTTCGGGGCAGTGTGAGGAGGGCTGGCAGCGGGCGAGGGGTCTGAACTGCATGGGGCGGGGTACCGGGCTGGCCCCTTTTCGGCCCGAGTGGGCGACTCTGCCTAGGGTGGTGGGTGTCAGGCGCAGGCAGGGCTGTGCTCCGCGCCTAGCAGGGCCCTGGTTGATTGAAGAATGCAGAGTTAGCAAAGCCCAGACTCCCTCAAGCAACTTCCTGCGGGCGGGCGGGCTCCTTCCATAGCGCTGCTGTCCTTACCCCCAAGCCCGCCCGGCCGCTCTCTGGAGGTTTTCTTTCTGCACGGCGGCGTCTTGGCTGCGGGAGGCTGGGAACCAGAGGGCAAAGCCGTGCGGGCAGGAGCAATGGTACGGTAGCGGTCCTGGACTGATGGCTGGCTCCTCTCGTCCTTTCCTCGGGCAGGTGGCGCCACCTTCTTCTTGGGGAAATGCTGAGCGAGGGATTCCCAAGCCCCAGCAAACCTGCTGCAGGTTTTGAAATGGTGTCACTACCTGTGGTTAGTCAGTGGGGCTAGTCTCAGGAGAAAACATGGGTGAACGATAGCGGTCAGCCTTCCACATGGGCCGCTTCTAGCCCAGGTTTGCCCAGCCTAACACTGCGGCGTGAATGGGGAGAGGGGTATGTAGGAGCTGACCCCTTGCTACATCGGGGATGGAGAAAACAATGCCAAGGAGAAACTATAAACATGGAACTCCTGGGTTTGACACCAAATTAGGGTGACTGTATTTCCCAGACTGAAAACAGATTATGGGGCTGGCCCATAGGGTGCCCTTTCTCTCCTCCTCCGCCATATGTGGCTGGCCCTGTGGGGCAATGCCCCAGCGCTGCTCGCCTGACCTCCCCCCAACATTCCTCCATGCCTCCCTAGGGGGGGTGTGCCCGGAATTTTTTTTTTGGGGTGGGGGACTGGGCATTTGTTCCCTTTGGAACAACTGATGATCAGGGACGTCCAGGACTAGACTTAAAAAAGGAACAAAATGGAACCTATAGTCACTCTGCACCAAATCCAAGTGAAGGGGCTTTTTCGTGGGAATGAGACTTTACAGGGCACCAACAACTTGGAAGGAGGGGAAAGGAACAAGAGAACTCCTTACTCCCCGAAACATCCCTTACTGGGGATGGATGGTGAAATGCCGTGATTACATGGGGGATTTGGCCCAAATTCAGCCATCAGGAGCCAGCCACTGATATAACTGCACTACTGAATACACCCAGTGTAGACTGGGGAAAATCACTGTGAGCCATGACTTGCATCTGTGCAACTCAAGCAATATCAGGGAGAATTAAGCTTTGTAAGTGCAAATAATAGGTAGTGGCTACCCAGCAATGGTAGGGCAAAGGTGGGGCAAATAAGTAAGGTGCTAGTTAACAGAGGTATCTGCAACTTTAAGTTAATACACTTGGTATTTGCATTACAAATGAAAATTCATGAGATTACTGTGATGAACTGAAATGACCCATCCTTGCAAATAAAAGTGGTGTGAGTATCTTTACTCAAGTGAATAGTTCCATTGATTTCAGTGGTACTACTCCCACAGGTAGAATTACTTACATATGCCAGTGTGTGCGGACTCAGGAACTTAGCCCAGGTCTACACTACGAGTTTAAGTCAAATTTAGCAGCCTTAGGTTGATTTAACCCTGCACCCGTCCACATGACTAAGCTATTTTTGTCGACTTAAAGGGCTCTTAAAATAGATTTTGGTACTCCTCCCCAACAAGGGGATTAGCGCTAAAATTGACATTGCTGAGTCGAATTTGGGGTAGTGTAGATGCAATTCAAAGGTATTGGCCTCCGGGAGCTATCCCAGAGTGCTCCATTGTGACCACTCTGGACAGCACTGTCAAGGTTCCTCCCCCACTCTGAACTCTAGGGTACAGATGTGGGGACCTGCATGAAAACCTCCTAAGCTTACTTTTACCAGCTTAGGTTAAAATTCCCCAAGGTACAAATTAATTTTATCCTTTGCCCTTGGAATATCCACTGCCACCACCAAACTCTAACTGGGTTTACTGGGAAACGTAGTTTGGACACATCTTTCCCCCCAAAATCCTTCCAACCCTTGCACCCCACTTCCTGGGAAAGGTTGGTAAAAATCCTCACCAATTTGCATAGGTGACCACAGACCCAAACCCTTGGATCTGAGAACAATGAAAAAGCATTCAGTTTTCCTACAAGAAGACTTTTAATAGAAGTAGAAGTAAATAGAAATAAAGGAATCACCTCTGTAAAATCAGGATGGTAGATACGTTACAGGGTAATTAGATTCAAAACATATAGAGAATCCCTCTAGGCAACACCTTAAGTTGCAAAAAAGACACACAGACAGGAATAGTCATTCTATTCAGCACAGTTCTTTTCTCAGCCATTCCTGTTCTATCCCTGGCAAAAGCAGTGTACAGACAGACACAGACACAGACCCTAGTTTCTCTCCCTCCTCCCAGCTTTTGAAAGAATCTTGTCTCCTCATTGGTCATTTTGGTCAGGTGCCAGCGAGGTTACCTTTAGCTTCTTAACCCTTCACAGGTGAGAGGATTTTCCTCTGGCCAGGAGGGATTTTAAAGGGGTTTACCCTTCCCTTTATATTTATGACAAGCACTTTCAACTCAGATGCACTAGTCAGGTACACAGGAAAAGCCCCGGGAGCTTTTGAATTTCATTTCCTGTTTGGCCAGCATGGCGAGCTCATTAGCACAGGTGACCATACAGTCCCCCAAAAGCGGGGGGAACTGGATCTGATCGCTGTATGGGGAGACGAATCCGGGCTATCAGAACTCCGTTCCAAAAGATGTAATGCCAATATATATGCCAAAATCTCCAAGGGCAGATGTGAGGTGTTTACAATGCTCACAACTGCAGCGGTGAGCGGAGCGGGCTCCCGCTTGCAGTGCTATGGCGTATGCGCGGGCAATCCAGGAAAAAGGGCAAGAAATGATTGTCTGCCATTGCTTTCACAGAGGGAGGGAGCAAGGGAATGGTCACTGACGACATGTACCCAAAACCACTGGCGGTTTCCTTGTCCATTATCTCAATTTTTTTTAATTAATAAAGAATTCATGGTTTCAAAACAATAGTTACTTGATTTTGAAGGAGGGAGGGTGGTTGGCTTACAGGGAATTAAAATCAACAAAGGGGGCGGGTTTGCATCAAGGAGAAACACACAACTGTCACACCGTAGCCTGGCCAGTCATGAAACTAGTTTTCAAAGTCTCTTGTGATACTCAGTGTGCCTTGCTGTGCTCTTCTAATCAGTGTCTGGCTGCTCAGAATCGGACGCCAGGCAATTTGCCTAAACCTCCCACCCGCCATAAATGTCCCCCCCCCCTTACTCTCTCAGATATTATGGAGCACACAGCAAGCAGCAATAACAATGGGAATGTTGGTTGCGCTGGGGTCTGACCAACAACGCCAGTGAGCTTTTAAACATCCAAAGGCACATTCTACCATCATTCTGCACTTGCTCAGACTATAGTTGAACTGCTCCTTACTACTGTCCAGGCTTCATGAGCCATGGGAGCAAGGGGTAGGCGAAACTGCACGGTGCTGCCGGCTGGGAGAGCAGCCTGAGGCAGAAGCCTCCAGCTCGCAGGAGATCAGGATAGCAGAGTTGCAGCGGAAGCGGTGGAGCGAGCAAAACACCATTGATGAGGACGGCTAGCAGTCGTACTGCACCATCTGCTGCAGAGTTGCAGCGGAAGCAGTGGAGCCGTTCACCATTGATGTGAAGGCGCCCAGGAGCTGCTGCAGTGTGGCCAAGGCAAAAGAGCAGGAGCCCTGGAGCTGTTTCATGTGGAACGTGCGCCTGCAAGACTTCTTCACCAGTGACAAAGGACAGGAATATGATGCACCTAAAATCTAAAAAGACCTGCACATTTCCCAGAGTCACTACCCTTGATAACAGAATGTCAATGATTGCATTGGCTACTTGGATCACAGCAGCCCTCATAGTAGACTTGCCCACAACAGCAGTGGTGACGGTGAGCTGAGTGGGCTCCCGCTTGCAGTGCTATGGCATCTGTGCAGTTAACCCAGGAAAAAAGCCACGAAACTATTGTCTGCCTTTGCTTTCATGGAGGGAGGAGAGGGAGGGGCGACTGACAACATGTACCCAAAACCACCCACGACAATGTTTTTGCCCCATCAGGCATTGGGAGCTCAACCCAGAATTCCAATGGGCAGTGGAGACTGCGGGAACTGTGGGATAGCTACCCACAAGTGCACCGCTCCGAAAGTCTACACTAGCCACGGTACTGTTGACGCACTCCGCCAACTTAATGAACTTAGTGGGGATGCACGCAATCGACTGTATAAAACCGCTTCTGAAAAATCGACTTCTAGAAAATCGACCTAATTTCATAGTGTAGACATACCCTTAGACATATGAAGATTGGCCATCACGGGCACAGTCTCACAGGAAATGTTTTCTGTAAATGGGGAAGCTATGATTAAAAATTATCTTAAAACGGTGATAGTTTCTTCTTCTTCCCAGGCCTGGTCTACACCAGAAAGTTTTACCAGCATACTTATATCAGTTAAGGAGGGGGGGGGGGAGGGGGATCACATCCTTAACTTACATAGCAATGCTGGCAAAAGCCCTACTGTAGTTATACTGGCAAAAAACCCTCCTTTTGCTGATGTAACTTATTCTGTTTGGGGAAGTAGTTTAAGATATAGTTATATTGTCAAAAGGACTCTTTTGCCTATGTTAACTGCATATTTGCCAGGGGTATTTGCCAGTATAGTTCTTCAGGGGTATCTATATTGGCTAATCCTTTTAAGTGTAGGCAAGACCTAAGGGAACTTGTTTTCTCCTCCTTTACTGAAGAAATGAAGTTAGTGGTATGGTGTACCATAGACTTATGCCTAAAATCTCATTGTAATATTTAGTATTTT